TTTTTTTTTTGACACCTGCATCACTCCCGGGCCACAGATGATTTACTCCAACCTACGGCGGCACGAGTTATGTCCAAAACTAAACCAGCTGATCCGTGACTTCAGGCAGTGATGTGAAACTTTACACAAACATCTGAAAGCCACGCTGCGCCCCTGCAGACCCACAGGGGGACTTTTTGTCACCGGTCAGCGTCACATGCTCACGTTATGTCACCGTTGGCGTGAGCTGGTGGGCTCACCACAGTCACGGGTGCGGGGAGGCGTCACAGCGAACCGTGGTATCTAATCTAAGCACGTGGAACCCTAGCTGAAAGCCACAGCAGACCCGTGCCAGCAATGTGACCATCATAACGCGCACATTGCACGAATGCCATCCTGTCTTTTAAGACTCGTTCACTCTTAAGGAATCTGTGGTGTGATCACACTGATGCATGCGGATCTGTTGGCTTCTTCGGCCTTTGTTTTTTTTAGCATGAACCTAGAGCCTCACAAAGTGTTAAACAAACAAAAGGCAGAAATCAAGTTTGCATTCATTACAATAAAGTGTATTTTGAGTACGCAGCACTTGTTTTTTTTCTTGTAAAAATGGTGACACTTAACCACGGAGCCGAGAAAATAGAGACTTAAAAGTGGCAACAACTGTGTTTTAATCCAAATCATGATCTATTTCAAAACTTAACAGATTATTATTAAATAAAATATTAAAAAAACTACAATATGTTTAGGACTCAAAGTCAAGCTGACTCTCCCTAATCCTGGTTCTTCCTGTTAAAAGGGAGATTTTCCTTTCTACTGTCGCCAGTGCCTTGAGAGAACAGTTGCTGTTTAACACGTTATAGATGCAATTTATAGAATTTTGACCTGTTGGAAAAAACACTATAATTTTGCATATGCCATTCGATTCCATTTTTGTTGTGCATGGTCAGATTTTCACTGGTTTACTGTCCTTCTCACTACCAAGCGCTTGTGAATAAATGTAGCAGTGCCTCCGATCAGTTGCTCTGTCATTTGAAAAACACATTTACTGTCATGTAAATCTTTAATGTTGACATCTCTCTTTTCTTTTTTTCTGTGAACAGAACAAGAGCCTTCAGGGCCTGGTGGGTTTGAAGAACCTGGGTAACACTGTAAGTGTCACGTTTTGTCCTTTTAAGTGCAAATAACTCGGTTTAGTCTTCACTTTAATAATTACCGGGCCTCTCTGTTTGATATGATTTGCAGTGCTTCATGAACTCCATCCTCCAGTGTCTGAGTAACACTTTAGAGCTGAGAGATTACTGTCTGAGAAACGGCCACATCACAGACCTCAACAACAACTGCAGGTCAAACACTGCTCTCATCGAAGGTACGATGAGTTATTTTTGCAGATCTTAAGTCGAGTTAATTCCCTACCAACGTGAGATGGCGGCCTGATTTCTGCAATATGTCTACCTCAGAGTTTGCAAAGCTGACTCAGAGCCTGTGGACCTCTGCAAACAATGAGCCCATCAGTCCCTCTGAATTCAGGAACCAGGTCCAGAGGTGTGCTCCAAAATTCGTTGGCTGCAAGTAAGTTTTCCGCCTTCTTTTAAAGTCAACCTGAAGCCGTGCACGTCAGTAAAATCAAGTAAAAATGTCTCCCTCTACAGCCAACAGGATGCTCAGGAATTTCTCCGCTTCTTGTTGGACGGTCTCCATAATGAAGTCAACCGTGTGACGGTCCGCCCTAAAGTGTCCGTCCTGGACTTCGACCACCTCGCGTAAGTGTGGCCTCACACTCAAAGCCTGTCTGGGTGACTGCTGTATCCCTGATTGGGCTGCAGTGGTCAACATAGCGAGCTTTCATCTATAATTATCGTGTAATTGACATTTTGTGGCCATTGGAGTAGAAACAAACCCCAAAATTGGTGAATTAATATTAACAATGAGTTTATTTATCAATATCTTGCAAAGGATCTTAAAGAGGCTTTAATTGAAGTTTTTATCACTGGTTTGCTGGTGAACATAACATCGGTTTGACTTTGCTGTTTTTTTTTGTTTGTTTTTTTACAGGGATGACGAAAAAGGCAGAAGGATGTGGAACATGTACTTGGCGAGAGAGGACAGCAAAGTAGTGGGTGAGTGATTTCTTTATTTTTTAACCCATAGCTGCTTAATAATCTTAAATAAGCCTTAAAGGAATATAAATGTTTAACGTGGTCCTCCATCCTGCTCACAGATCTGTTTGTGGGGCAGCTGAAAAGCTCTCTGACTTGCACAGCTTGTGGTTTCCGCTCCACTGTGTTTGATCCATTTTGGGACCTCTCGATACCTATTGCACAGGTAAAATGCCTGCTGTGGTCTTGGATTATCGCATTGCATAAGCCACAGATGTAAAAATTATATCCACGTTGTAAATGTAATTTCTGTAGAGGTTACCGATCTTAATCATAAGCGTTAGGCAAGTCTTCACACAGTGCTTGATTTTTACACTTGTCTGCCTCCACAGAAGAGTTCAGGCGAAGTGACTCTCAAAGACTGCTTGAGACTCTTTACAAAGGAAGATGTGTTGGATGGAGAGGAGAGACCGGTAAGAGGCAATGCATAAATAACCCAAGTCTCACTTTCCTCTGTAAAGATGATGCAATGTATCGATTACACTGCCTACACCGTGTTCGTCTCTTTCTTAGACGTGCACCAAATGCAAAGCCAGAAGAAAATGCACCAAGAGGTTCAGCATCCAGAAGTTCCCTCAGGTCCTCGTACTTCGTATCCTTTCCTCACATCTTTGCATTTTAATATTTCCAGAAAGCAGAGAGATTTCAATGATGCC